AACTTCTGAGTAAAGTATTGTGCCTCTTGTTCTACCACACTCTAGAGTATGCATTTAATGGTGTGTGAACAGAGCAGCTGAAATGTGAACACTGACTTACAGAAGCAAAATCCTTTTTGTTGTTCTCCCCTCAACACCTGATTTGCATATCTATAATAGCAATGTTTATGGTGATTGATTTGAAATTAGATGCTATACAAATAAATCTCTTTTACCATTTAAAATTTTAAATAATTGAGGTTGCAGAATGCTAAAAGGACTCTCTAAGGACCTAAAACTATCAAGAGGATATATAAATAACTCCTTTAAATCAAGATGAAAAAGTAGATAACCCAATAGGAAAAAGAGTACAGATGTTTTGAACATGTACTTCACAAAAAAAGGTTATTCAAATAAGAAATAGATACTCATCTGCTCTAGTCAACAGGGAAATGAAACTCAAAATCTAATGAGATATTTATATTAATCAACAACAATACCTAAAATGAAATATTCAGACAATACTGTATCAGCCACAGAATGGTCATACTCTGATTGTAGGGGTGCAAATCGGTACAATCACCTTAGAAAACTATTAGAAAGGTGATCATACAACACCTCCCATGACTCAGCACTATGTACCCCTATGGCAGCCATATGTAAGCACTATAACCAGACAATTTCAGCCCTAAGGATTTCCCCAACAGAGATTTTTATCTAGATGTGAACAATAATGTGTATAGCGGTACTGTAAGTGATAGCCAATCTGAAAAACAACCCAAGAATCCACCAAGAGTAGGATAGATGAATGTATTATGCATATTCTTACAATGAGAGAGTATCAACAATGATAAAGGTTCACCTATAAACTTACATACATAACCATGTTTATAGATAAATCTTATAAACAGAATAATGACTGCAGAAGCCAGATTGCAAAGTCTGCATTCTGTATGAGTTTAGTTACTTGAAGCTCAAAAACAGACAAAACTAGTCCATAGTGTTATAAGTCACAATAGCGACAGGATGGTGACTGTCCTTCAAGAGTAGTTGGGGAGGGTGGCTGGCTATGGGGAAATAAGATTTCTGAAGTTCACTAATATTCTATTATTTTGATATGGGGATGTTGCATGAATTAGTTTGTTTTGTCTAAATAAGCTATAGAGTAATGATTAATGTTCTGCAGAAATTATTCTATAATACAAACTTTATCTTTAAGATAATTTTATTCCATAACTGTGAACAATTACAAAACACTAACTTATTTTTGGTTCAGAGGGTCGGGATGTTATAGTTAAAGCTTTGTCCCAGGGTTTCATAAACTGACTTCCAGACCACTCACGTATAATCGAATCAAGCCTTTATTGAAGCACACCGGTGGCGGCTGACCAGAACATAAAGCTGTTCCCCTGATCAGCCCCGAACAATTGCAAGAGCACTCCTTATAAGTCTGAAAACCGCAAAAGGGATGTTTGGGGGGGGTCTAGCCAATGCAAGCAAGCCAGGTTACAGAAGCGGGACAGTGTAGTCAAGCAGAGGGAAGCCTAATCAATCACAGTTATCCCAGTCACCCCAGTTACAGAAACAGAGCCCCGTTACCCTAGTTACAGAAACAATGCCCCATTAGGTAGTTCCGTGTTCTTAAAGGTTTCTATAGCAAAAGGAAAAGAACATCCTGCTCCAGTCATGACTCTTCTACTTGGCATGGTTGTTTTACAGGATGAAGTCATAAAACAAAATGGAGTCACATTTGTTCCTACTACCACAGGGAGGAAAGGTGATTGCTCTTGATAAAGTAAACACTGTCTCAAAGTTCCTAAAACTGAAGTCCTCATTATTTTATCTTAACAAAGTTATTAATATTAAATATCAGTGTATTTAGACAAATCTGCAAAGTAGGCCCCAGAGTTGTTCTTACATCAGCGATAAGAAACCAAGAACTTGATAGATACCATAACTTGTCCAAGATGGCACGTAGTGGACGTGAATTTTAAACCCAGGAGGTTTGGCTTGGGGCAGTGAGGAACATAATCAGTTCACTATGGTTCCCAAATGTCTCTGTAAGAACATTTTTATGCTCTTAAAATTCACTAAGGATTTCAAAGAGTTCTTGTTTATGTGGGTTGTATTTATAAATATTCACAATATTGACATTAAAAGAGAAAAAAAAATCAAATCTACGAGTACACAACCATTAGTCCTCAGAGAGATGATGTCACCACACTTCCTATAGCTTCCAGAAAAATCCACTGTGTACACATGAGATAATGATAAAGGAAAAGTCAGAGTGTCCTGATATCGTTATGAAAATAGTTTGACCTCATATTAGGGGAAGGGCTAGACATTCAGAACCACTGCACGCACTATGCTCCCTCCCTGTCAGGGAGAAGAAGCGAACATCCAGTGATCATAAAGACATTTGTGCTATTGATCAAACCCACAGCTCTGGTATCACAGTGTAAAATTAGTAAACTTAAGCCCAAATTTTAGGAAAGCATGACAGAAGCAAAACATCAGGATTTCAATTGTAACACTATGAATTGCTTTCAGGGTAGCCTTGGGGAAATTATTTCATCTCTAAGACTGTGCTTTAACTGAACAATGAGACAAGGAACACTTAGCCCCTATAACTATTGTTATTAAATAGCAAGAAAATTAAGTGAAAATGCCCATCAGTGTCGTCCAACATGCAACAAGAGTTCCATAAACATTTGTGGAATTTCTATGTCTCGTGCTACCCACATGTGAAATAAGCAACAAGAATTACAAATATAAAAAAAAGAGCCTTAGTTTACTTTTCTTGGCAGATCAATAATGTTAAGTAATTCAAATTTATCTGATTGCAATTCTTTCCATTTTGCTCTTAGCCCTATGTTCCCTGGAAGACAATGACTCTGAAAAATTATTTTGGGGGTCCTTCCACCTTTGCCAAAAATTCATCCAACTCTCTTACTAGAAAAATTAAGTCACCATCTCAATTTTGGGAAACCCAGATGTCTCCAAGAATTTCAAGGACTATCATGGAATTTTCTAAGCAAGTCTACTTCACTTTATTTTTAAGACATCGCTGCATATTCTAAGAATAATTATAAGATTATATATAGGGCAAGGAGATAACATATGATATCACGGAACCAAATAAACAGTGAAATGTCTTGGGAACCATTTATTTAAATCAGGGTTCCACTCACTTTCTGTAAGAGGTCAGAGAGTGAATTTTGGGGGCTCTCTGGACAATATTGTCTATGTCACAATTAACTCTGCCATCGTACAAAAGTTGACAATATGAAAATGACTGGGCATCCCCATGTTCTAATAAACCTTTATTTACAATAACCTGTGGTAGGATGCATTTGGCTCATAGGCCCTTATTGGCTGACCTCTGATTTTGATGATAAAGCCAATGGAGAGATGATTTAAAAAAAAACAAAACAAAAAACAAGAATATATTTCTCAACACTTTCAGGCATGTTTTTAAATGGCTTATAAAAATATCCAGACAATTGAATCCAAATCAACTTGGGACTCCGATGCTGGAGGGCCTTTCTTCCAGCCTTAGACTAATTAAAGACTTGCTTCTCTTTGACCCAAACTCGTAACAACTCCACAAGGATGAGGCACTATATTTCATTCCTCTTCCAGTCTCATCACAGCTGTGCCTCTCCTGTCAGCAAAACTCAGGGGCCGTCAGCGTTTTCATTATAATTTCAACATGCGGGAGGTTATAAATCTGCCTAGAACTTAACTACTACTTGGCAAAGCAGTTTCCGGGACCAAGACCATTCTCAAGGATGAGCAGGCTTGCACAACAAAATAAGTTCATACTGAAAGATAGGCCAGAAAAGTACCTTTGTGAAGTTCAGGATGATTTTTGGTTGAAAAGATTCTCATATAATTAAATTTAACAAATATTTATGGAGTTCCTGTCCCAGGTAGCCTCTGTTCTTTCCTCTGCCCCACTTTCCTCAGGGAACTGCATCTGCCCCCAATTCATGTCAGCCCCTGATGAACCTGGTATTAGGGTTTTCTGGCCTTCCCACAGAGTGGGTCACGTGACCTGCTTAGAGCAAATTAGATTATCCCTCATCCCCAGCCACAGAATTCTCCAAACTTAGAACAAATCAAGACTATGTCATTTTTAAAGAATTGACTGCTGAGGACAAGAAGATCCTCTTTGCTATTTATAAAGTGAACATATGAACCTGGAGCGTCTGTGTGTGATGAATTTGAAGGACCCATGGGACATCCTGTGGGTGATATCCAGCAGGCAGTTAGATTTACAAGCCTAACAACTCAAGAAGAGTCTGGGGAAGCAGCTATGAATTTGGAAATGATTGGAGCACTCCAAAGAACAGCTTGAAGCAAATTCTGGGCTCCTACCGATCTCTGAGAGATCGTTTAAGAACACTGTGAACACAACTAGAAAGTAAAAGCATTCAAAACCTACTCAACAAATACACTGTTTCTATGTGCTTCTCTCTGGGCTAGGTCCTAGGAATATAAAATGGGCAATACTGATAAGGAGGTACAAATTCAAAGCACTTACCTACTGAGTTTCTTGGACCCTTAAAATTTAGGTAATATTTGATCCCTGTACCATGACCCAGGGAAGTTCAAAGCCACTAATACTGTCTAGTCACCTCTTTCTTAGGATTCTACTTCTTCTATAAAAGTGATTTCCATTCCTTAATGCAGCAGCCTAGACTGGAAACACATTTATGAATCCCAAGAACATTGCTCATCCATCTGCATGTGCTTGGAATCTATCTACTTAACATCTGCGCGCACCAAATTTCTTCAGCTATACAAGGAATCTCCTTGTAAGCAGAGATCCCATCACTAGCCTGCAGACTTTCCAGTAGCAGTACCCGTGTCTTTGTTGGTAAAGCTTCATTCCACCTGTACTACTCTTGAGAAGCCCTCCCCCCTTTCCTGGTTTATTGTAAGTAACAAGGCAGCAACCTGTTTCAGTCTCTAGTTAGCCAGCCCTACCTAAGAAAGCAACTGACAACCAAAATACCTGACAGTAATAACAGAGTAAAAATTTATTTTGTCTCATGGTTTTAGAGGTTTCACTTCATGGTTGGCTGGTTCCATCATTCTTGGCCTGAGGTATGGCAAAGGAAAGCTGCTCAGCTCATCGAGGCAGGGAAGCAGAAAGAGAGGGGGGAAGAAGTGTCCAGAGACAAGACAGAGTCCCCAAAGGCATGGATCCAGTGACCTACTTCCTCCAACCATGCGCAGCCTACCTACAGTTTCCTTCATCTCACAGTAGTCCATTTCAGCTTTCAGTGGATTAATTCACCAATGATGTCATACCCCCTTGTGATCCAATCACTTCCGGAAAGTCTGACCTCTGCACATTGCTTCGTTGGGGACCAAGCCTTCAACACAGGAGTCTTTGGGGGGACACTTCATATCCAAATCATAACAGCAATCATAATTGTTCTCTGTGGCAGGTCCAATGTAATCCGACAGACAAGGTTGCATCAGCTCACAAACATTGGGTGTATCATTTGGGTTAGACCAAATAGCTGTGACAAAGAGGTCCAAAAATGTTCAACAGCAAAAATAAAACTGAAGTTTATTTTTATTCACAAAATATAAGTGAACAAATAAATAAACTTCAAGGTAAATATTTTTGATTGGCTGTAACTCTTCCGTGTGGTGACTGAGGGGTCCAAGACTTCTTCTACCTGTGACTCTAGAAAGCCTTAGGACATCATTATTCCTGATATCCACCTGGCATAAAGAAAAAGAGAGTGGAGAGGCACATATTCTTAAAAGCCCTGGCCCAGAGGTGGCACACATCACAGTATTTAGTCTCACAGACCCACTTACCATGGGAACACCGGGAGATGGATTCTATCTGATCATAAAGTAAGGAGACCACAGATGTAGCTTGATGACCATTGGGCTCTTCCTTTATTGGCTTACCTGCTTTGGTAAAGATCACCAGCCTATAAAGTAAGAGGCAAAAAACTCAGTGTATCTTTGTATTCCCTTTTATCCATTAATTGGCCTTCTGTCTTATAGTCTCACATATAACCTCATCCCAAACTCCCCTGATAACACCTATTCTCTTGTGCTTATAAGTAAAAAAATGTATAATCCTACCATCAGATAATGGCTATATTTCTGAGCATTTTTAAACTAACTCGTGAATGTCCAATTTATTCATTACCTCTACAAATAATACATACTCTGCAAGATAGCCCCAATTTTACAATATTTTGTATGGATATGCTTACCATGCACCTTTTAAAACTGTATTAGTTATCCTAATGATGTCTCCTTTTTTAATACAGAAGACTTCTCTCCTGATTAGAATTTCAGGTCTCCTGAGCATGTCTTCCCTAGCAGCTAGGGGAATGTCACTTTATTAGTGAATTTTATTCAGCATTTCTAGTTACTTTAACCTCAAACATATTATGCATACATTTGGTTAAAAAAAAACATTAAAAGTCTATTATGTGCTCTCAGCAATGGAAAAGATACTGGAGATTTCAGAGTGAAGAGAATATAGTTGCAGAGTACCAAGGATTTATTATCTAGTAGGGGAGATATGTTATAAACAGGTATTTAGAGCCCAGTGTACTAACAGAGCTCTGAGCAATGCTTTATAAGACAAGAAAAAAGGAAAGTCTGACCCTTACCTGAAGATGTCAAGGAAGTATTATTCAGTAGCATTTATTGAATCCCCAATCTGTATTCAGTGCTACGATGGTCGATGGGCGGTGAAGGCTACAAGAAATAAAAATGTTCTACCCTTGTCCTTGATGAGCATATCATCTCCATCTATGGAGCAATAATGTTCTCTACAAGGATGCATAGAGTATTGCAACTCAATGAAAAGGGTTATTAATGTTGTCAAAAGATGAGGTAAGCCTCCTGGGGATGGTCAAGTCTTAAGCTGAGCCTTGAAAATCTGTTTTGATTTAGATGGAAGTTCAGTGTGGAACAGCTGGCTTTGTAGACAAAGAAACAGAATCAGATAGAACAGGCAAGAATGTAGCCATTGTAAAGAAATTAATCTTTTTGGAGTGAAAGAAGTGAGTAGGCAATAATGGAAGAGAGTGTAAAAGAGGATGGGTGGAGTCAAACATTCTGAGCTGAGCAGGCAAGATAAGACTCAATGCATTTTTAATCATGAAGCCCACTTGGAATGATGTTATTCTGATTTTGTCGGGGGTTGGGGAATGATGCATCCCTATGAGAATCTTATGAGAGATTTGGCTTTTCTTGCTAAAAAAAAAAAAAAAAATACACTTCCAAACATCACACAGATCTCTGACTAAACTTTTACGGACTTCACAGACTTTCTGAATCACTCATTAGAAGCCTAAATCATGGATGTGTAACTGATGTGAATCTGCAATCTGTGTATGGGGTGAAGGTGGGAGTTCATAACCCGCTAGAATCAAAGTGTGGAATATGATATGTCAAGAAATTTGTAATGTTTTGAACAACCCACAATAAAAAATTAAAAAAAAAAAAAAAAAAAAAAAAAAAAAAAAGAACAAATTATTTAAAGGCTGATTTTGAGAGAAATTTGTTAAACTCAGATGTGAAAAATGGGGACTTGGGACTACAAGCAAAATTTAAAATGACCAGGTCAGGAATGAATGGTAACCATATGTTAGCTTTCCATCATTATAAGAGAATGCTTGAGATAATCAACTTGTAAAGAGAAAAGGGTTATTTTGGCTTATAGTTTTGGAGCTTCCAGCTGCTTTGCTTTGGGCTTATGACAAAGGAAGCACATCAGGGTGGGAGCATAAGGCAGAGTAAAACCACTTTCCTCATGTCCAAAAGGCAAAAGAGAGAAAAAGGAAGGAACCAGGGTGCTACCATCCCCTTTGAGGGCATATCTCCAATGACATAAGGACCTCCCTCCCAATAGCACCAGATGGGAGACCAAAGTTTTAATACATACATAGTTCTTTGGGAGAGAATTCAAGATCCAAACTACAACAACAATTCTCTGTAATATTGTTCCTGTAGCCATTTGAGATGAACTTCATGCTAGGTGCTTCTCGTTCAGGGTCTAGAAGCAACGATTTTCCAAGGGGACCTGACATCTATCTTCAGATATAAATACAGTCTCCAAAAGGCAAACCTTACATTACTTGATCCTCTCCTTTTAGATTGCTAGTATAATACATAGCACAACTGGACAGAAATAAGCCAGCCTGAGATGACATTCAGCAAGGAATTACAGTGGGGGGAGTAGGCTCTGAGTTTTATCCAGTCTGGACACCAGACTCTTGACAAATAATAATCACTGCAGAATGTCAGAATATGCTCTATCTGGAAAGAGTTTTTAACGTGGGCTGCTGAGCTTTAGGCTTACTGCTTTCGGTCAGGACTAGTTTCCTCTCTGGTCCTCTAGGCCTAGAGTATATACTTCTCTATTGATTTGTGACTTAAATAAATTGCAAGCATTTTACTGCAGTGTCTATACAAGCAAGACTCTGCTCAGTGAAGCCAAGGAATCTGATGGCAAAGTTCCAGACCCACTTTGGCACAGCCAACCAGCCAACAGCAGGCAGCACCGTGATAATGTGAACACTTGCCTTTCCAAAGTGTGTGATTCACGGCCGTATTTTTCTCTCTCTAGCTTCTATCGCTCTCGAATCTCAAGCCTCTTTTCAAAGTAAAGATTATTTTGAAATCTTGTTTAAAAAAATGGGAAAGCTCATCACCTTCGATCAAACAGTATTAATTTAATTGAGTTCTAATATCTTTCTGGAGGAAAACCTAGAAGTACAGATTCATCTTCAAATATCTAGGAGCCACTTATGCTTGCGTTTTTCGAATTCCGCTCTGAGTATTTTGGGTTTGGCTGGTAATGAGAAATCTCCTCTTTTGATGAAAGCCAGTAAACTCTAGATGTTGATACCTGATGAAGGAAAAAGCTCCCTTCAAACTTCATAAACAGGAGGGAGCCTGAGAGCCTTCACTGTCTGTGGAGAGAAAATAAGGTACTGAGTGAAAAAAATCAAATTTCAGGAGAGAAATTACCACAGGAAATTTATTTAAATTCTTTTCCGACTCAGTGTTAAAAGATTAAATGTTGTAAATAAGAGCTAGACCGTGCATTTTCATCTTTCACTTATACCTCTCAGTTGTGTGGCAACAACAACAACAACAAAAAGGGCCATTTTGAAAAATGATTTCTAAAAGCCATAAAAGTTAGTGTGATGTATAAAGTATAACATAAACTGTTTCTAAAAACTTCTCATTTACTCATGCAAGAGCAGTACCCGATGGCTAGCTCAGTGTTCACCTGATCTCTCCTCTGTGTCCCCCTTTCTCAATAACTCAGGGCACAAGGAAGCCCTCCATGAGGAGGATGGAGCCCAGGAGTTTGAGACCAATTGAGTGAGAAGAGTAATTGATAACAATACAATGACATTATAAGGGCTTTATACTATGAAAGCCACTGAAGAACACGAATTTTGGCCCATTCATGAGATCAGATAAAGATAACATTGAAAAAAACACATCTTTGCAGACAGGAATTTTTGTCCTCTATTCTCATCTCTGCTCTGCTAGTCATTCACATCCAAGCTTGTTATCATCTCCCCAGAATTTAAACAACCCATTTAATGTGTATTGGTTGATTTATAAAACCCAAATTCAGTGAGATTTTTCTGTATAACAAACTATCTTAAAATAGAGTGGTTTAAAACAACACTTTACTAAGATGAGTCTACAGGTCATCTAGAGGGTGCTGATCTGGCTAAGCTCATTCACAGGTCAGAGGCCTTTCCTGGGACCCTAGTTAGTTCATGTCAGGTCTTATTCTCAATCGGGCTGCCCAAACAGGATTGCTCACATGGCCTCAGGCAGTGTTCCCAGACAGAAGATGGAAACACACACACACACACAGCTGCTTGAACTCATACCTAGTCACTTCACTGCATTACATTGGTCAAGGAATGTTACAGGACAAGTTCAGGTGTAAGATTTGGACAGACAGACTTCACTCCTTTTATGGAAAAGCTGCAGTCTTCTATTGCAAAGAGAAGCAGTAAGAGGAGAATTAGAGAATGGTAGCTATTTTTGTACTCTGTCACAGAAACAAGTAGCCCTTCCAAACAAAAATGTTAGGGAGTTTGATTTGGAATGAAGAGAAGAATTCTTTCCAACACCAAAGAGTTGTCACAAATCTAAGCACATGAATCTATAAAGCCAGGCTTCTACTTTACCAAAAATCACCAGTTTTCCCCTCTGAGTTCTGTTGCCAGTCACTCCCATTCCCATCAAACAACCATTCAGTTCACACCCAGGAAGGAGAGTTTGGAGGACAGTATTTGTTGAAAAGTAATTTAGGCAGCCTCTGGCCTGGAATGTATCCACTGAACTGGAAGATTCAGTAGCTACAAAAATAAAACGCTTGATGGACAAATGAATGCTTGGCTCCTTCTAATGGAGGGGGCTGGAGAGCAGAGGAACTGGCAGAAAAGGTCAATGCAAGAACATACACACCACAGGGTCCTCGCCAGGGCACCGCCAGCTCCCAGGGAGGTTCAAAGCGCTCAGGGCAAAAGGAGGAGGAGAAAAAAGCTCATGATAGACGGAAGTAGAGTATCTGGGAAGGCAAACATAGAGAAAATGAAAGGGGGGAAATGAGACAATAGAAAATCTGGAAGAACAAAAATAAAATGACTTGGGTTTTAACAAATTTTTAAAAAACTAATTTTTCTGGAAAATGAATTTCTGGCATGCATGCCAGTTTGCCTAATACATTTCTATGATGTTCAGCATACAGCAACAAAAAAAAATAAACAGACCCTTATTATTTCAAAGATATATTTTCAAGTCGTGGATTATTCGTCCTCTTCTTTTTCTTCTATTTCCTTCAGCCAAGGGTCCTTTGTCCAGTAAATGGAGATTCATAAAAACACATTGACAGAAGAAGGTAGCAGAGAGAATATAAATGGTCAACTGCTAGATGTCAGAAACTTCATACATGTGAGATGTCAGTATCTTCACAACCCAGAGAGGAAAGTATCATTCTATCCCTTTGACAGATGCAGAACTCTAGTTTGGGAACCGAAAAGTAACTTACGCAAGGACTCGCATCTTAAATGTTTTGGTTTCGCTCCCATTTCTGGATCCCAAAGCCCCGTTGCTTAACAAGATTCCTTAGAACTCTGAGACCATTTACAGGCATTTATTCAAGTCCTGGTACATCCATCACTAACTTGGCTGAGGTGCCAAGCTGATATCCCAAGTTAATGACAGATCCTAGGCTACAACTCTTTTTTTCACCTTCTAGTCTGAGGTTCCCCTTCATGTCACGGTCCTAAGGGGAACATCCAATCATATAATTCATTCCATTCATTCAAAAATTCCTTATAGAACAGCTGCTGTGTTCCAGGTGCTGTGTGAGGGATTACAGTGGGAACAATACTTCCTAGCCCCCCCCCCCAGTGGAACTTGAGACCCAACATCATAAGACACAGGCTGGATTGGGAGGGAGCCTAAAACAAGGAGAAGGAAAGTTTGAGGATTCAAGTATCTGCATGGCTTCTACTTTTTCCTTCTCTCTCACTCCTTTGATGTTTGTTCTTCCTTCCTTTAGTCACCCCATGCACAATGCTTTATAACAGGAGTACTTGATCCAGTATTCCTCAATGACTCAAACAGTACCCATTGGGAGCCCCCACTCGCCACATTTGAGACTTTCTTCTATAATTAAAGGAGTGAAAACCACAGACAACAACAGCTCTGAGGCTTTGAAAGTCCTGAGAACATTGACTATCATCACAGCACTTCTCTTAATCCCTTCAGTATGGTAGTAAAACTCACTGCCAGGAATTTTCTCCACAGGCTGTTGACTGAAATATCTCCTTTTGCTGTAGCTTGATGTCTTTCGGTACTTCAGTACTCTGCTAATGTCTAGAGGAGGCTGGGTTAGGGTGATGCCTTCGGAACCCAAAGCTGGAGATGAGGGTTTGGTCAGGTGGTTTTATGGGAAGTGGTCCCAGAAGGCAGAAGTGAGGGAACAGGAAATAGGAAGTGAGAAAAGGCAATGAAGTTGTGTGTTCATAGACTAGTTACCTCTGTGGGCAGCAAGAGTTCACCTTTGCTGGGGAGCTACTGGGGAGCCATGTGGATCAGAACTCACTCAGATTTATCTCACCAGAGGACAAGAAGCATGAGACATCCATATACTGGCTCCGGTCAGCCTTTGGAGCAACTCTACCCCAAAGGGCACTCACTTCCCAAGTCTTCCAGGTTGTGATTATGTACAGATGATCAGGTCTTCCATGGCTTCACAAAGAGCCCTCTCAGGCAGCAAAGTAGAGAGACACCATACCCCACACTTGAAGACGGATGCTGGTAACTCCCATGGAATTGTTCACCTCAGTGCACTAAAACTATGTGGGCTAATAGGATGCAGCTCAGCACATCATAAGAATTTACTAGAAGTAACAGTAGTGCTTTAATATGAATACTAATTGCAGACCCAATTTGGTATTTTATAATTTACAAAGTCGTCTTCCCATAGTAGCCACATGCTGAGATTGATATTATTATTATTATCTCATTTCCTCATGAAGTTCTGGGGATCAGCAAGCAAAGTCAAAAGTGATATAAATATCCTGTCTTAGAGTTCTAGTCTGCTTCTGTCAATTAAATTGACTAAATCAGAACATCTTCATTTGAATCATCAAGACTCCCTACAATTTTCTAACTTAGAAATCCTAAACAAGATTTTTTTTTTAAATTTTCAAATTATTTTAGGTCCATGAACACCTGGCCTAATAATGTTCCAGAAAAAAAAAAAAAAAAAAAAAAAATATATATATATATATATATATATATATATATATCAGCGCCTCATATTTTTATTATCCTCCAATATAAATCAGAACCATAGAGTCCAAGAGATAATTAACAGATTCCAGTTAATCTTAAAATAATCCCCAATATAAGTCATATGGCAATCCAGCAATAGAAAGTTTATCCTTCATGCCAAAAATCCTCCATAGAAATCTGTTACTGAAAACATTATGTGGCCACCCTCCCATCTGCAGATATGCTTGTTTTTCTCTGTTCCATGCCAGGGTACTTAATCCAGTCATCATAATAAATTGCTGTTTTCTCTGCCCTCTTTATAGAATGATTAGTGTATACATCTGAAGAATCTTGAGATCTTAAGAATACAGAAAAGTCTACCAGAAACACTAATACAATAAAGTCACATATTTCCAAAAAAAGTGAAAACATAAAGTCTAAAGGTCTTCCAGCATGTCATCAAATTAAAAGACACAAGTATTATTGAATCTTCTTAGTAATAAAATGTTTATTACTATTCCCAACCGTTTCTGTCAAATGGTGTGATTGTATAAGACTTCCCTCAAAAAAAAAGAAATACATTTATGTCATGACTTTCAAGTCCTTGCTTACAATTATAATTTCCAATTGCTCCCCTTTGATATATTTTGCAAACTATATAAAGGCCAGGGAGACTTCTACAACTTCCTCAGTGATTACAGAATGGTTTACTGTCTTTCTTCATCCTTTGATATCAGAAGGGTTCATATTGCAAAACCTGGAGGATTTTTCATGGCTGCTTATTAAGAATTATTAATAAAAAAGTTCTGTGTAAACTCAGCACACCAAGTTTGACAGATTTGTACATGCCTCTAATATATTTGCTTAAACACAGAGAAATATTTCACCCAAGCAACCAAGAAAATAACTCATTAAAATGTTCAAAAGACTAACTAGTTTTTATTTTCAACTAAACTAATGAAAAACAGTTGTGGTTTGGGAGCTGGGGCTGTAGTTCAGTGGCAGAGTGCATGCCTAACATGTGTGAGGCACTGGGTTCGATCCTTAGCAACATATAAAAATAAACAAATAAAATAAAGGCATTCTGTCCATCTACAACTACCAATTTAAAAAAAATAAATAAATTGTTGTGTTTTTTTCACAATATGCATGAAAACTTCACAAGTGACTTGGAGATGGTAGATTGAATCTTCTGATCTACTTTAAATTCTGCTGGGATTAAGAAACTTCCAGGCTGGGGATACAGTTCAGTTGATAAAGTGCTTGCCTAGCCATGCACAAGACCTTGAGTTCAA